CAGCCATTCCACTCCTAGGTATTTACCCAAGAGAAATGAAAGCATATGTCCCATATGCCCATACAAAGATTTTACACAAATGTTCACAGCAGCTTTATTTGTAATAGTGAAAAACTGGAAACAACTCAAAAGTCCATCAGTATTAGTCCATGAACTACTGATACATGCTCCAATATGGATGAATCTCAAAATAATTATGCTGAGTAAAAGAAGCTAGACAAAAACAAGTACTCACTGTATGGATCCATTTATATTAAATTCTAGGAAATGCAAATTAATGTATAGTAACAAGAAGTAGGTCAGTAATTTCCTGGGAATGAATGGGGGAGGGGGTGGGTAGGGAGGTGGGGGAAAGAGAGACTACAAAGGAGCAGCAGGAAACTTTAGGGGTGATGACTATGTTCATTATTCTGATTGTGGTGATGGTTTTATGAGTGCATACATATGTCAAAACCGAACAAATTGTACACTTTAAATACGTACAGTTAATTGTATGTAAATTATACCTCAGTAAAACTTAAAAAAAAACCTGACTAACTCGTATCAGGAGATATATATATACACACATATGTGTGCATGGATTTTTTAACAAGTTAATAGTTGGGAAAAAAGTCAAATAGACCTTATTTGGTTTAGCTACTACCATTAGTACTGCTGGAGCCCTGCAGGGCATAGCGGTTAAGAACTCTGCTGCCAACCAAAAGGTCGGCAGTTCAGATCCACCAGCCGCTCCTTGGAGACCCTATGGGGCAGTTCTAGTCTGTCCTATAGGGTTGCTGTGAGTCGGAACCGACTCAATGGTACCTAACAACAACAACCACCACCACATTAGTATTGTTAGGAGCCCTAGTGGCACAATTGTTAACGACTCAGCTGCTAACCAAAAAGTCAGTGTTGTAACCCACCTGCAGCTCCAGGGGAGAAGACCTGGTGATCTACTCCGGTAAAGACTACAGTCTAGGAAACCCTATGGGGCAGTTCAACTCTGTCTTACAGGGTCAATATGAGTCGGAATCCACCCAATGGAACACATTAGTGCTGTTAAGAAATTCTTGGGCAATTTGTTCACACACACACTCAAATACACTAATTAATTTATTAAAACTTGTCCCAGATGAGTTGGCTGGTGGATTTTAACCAGGTTGAACTATGCGTTCCGTCATTAATAGTAACAACAACAACAACAACAAACCGATGCCACCATCCAAATCAATTCCAACTCATACAGGATAGAGCATACCAGCCCCATAGGGTGGATTGGAACTGCCGACCTTTTGGTTAGCGGCTGAACTCTTAACCACTGTGCAACCAAGGCTCCCATTAATGGTAAAATCATTGTGAATGATCCCCTACTGAAACTTTGCCTCATTTTCAACAACAATATAGGGCTAGTCACTTGAAGCAAATCCATTATTTAACTCAAGTTCACAAAGAGATGAGGATTTTTATTTTGTAATATACTGTTTACGTTATAAAAAAGGTAACACTGCATAACTTTGGGGAAGTTGTTTCCTACATGTTTTTATAATATAATTTGATTTACAAGAATTGAATTTACTTACAGCTTCTAAGAAACCCATTGTTTCAAAAAAGTATGACAATCTTGAGCAGAACTTTACTTAACCAACTCAGGGGCAAAGAAAGAAAAAAATACTATCTAATTCTATATAATTGATGAGTACATATAGTGCATAAGATTTTGTACAGGACTTCCAACTGGTTCATTCCGGTTTGGTTTGAACTCCTGTTGAGAATTTGCATTTCCACTCCCAGATATACTGAATCAGAATCTAAGTTTTAACAAGATCCCCAGGTGATTCTTATCATAATAAATTTTGAGAACCACTGCTCTACTAGTTCAAAGGAACAGGTTCGAAGCCCTGATTTTGTAGTATCAGGTTGTTTACAATAGAAACTCTTTGAAGTTGGCAAATACTGATTACTTTAGGAATTTAAAGCTGCTTTCATTTGATGATAGCTATTGAGAAACTCTAAATTGTCTGTAATTGTGCCTGTAACTTCAGTGAAGGATTATTGATCTTTTGTGAGGAAATGTGCCAGGGTCTGATGGATACCCGAAACTGTTGGAATTGTTACCAGAAAATATATTGCAGCTGCTTCTAAATACATTTAATGGGGAAGCTACTGCAGGAATTCTTCTAGATTCAATAAAATCAAACCTCAATAAATGGTGGAAGAAAAATTGAATTGTCACAATATTTACATTTTTTATGTTAGACCTGCCCAAAATTTTGGCTCTAAAATCCTATTATAAGTCAAGTTCAGATTCTGAGATTCTAAGATTTGAGTGCAAGTGGTTATTTGGGGAAGGCTAATAGGAATAACACCTTGGATTTAAGACAGTTTCTCAGCCTCAGCACTATTGATATTTTGAACCAAATAATTCTTTCTTGTGGGGAGCTATGCTGTGCATTGTAGCGAGTTTAGCAGCATTCCTGGCCTTTACCCATTACATGCCAATAGCAAGCCCACCCTCCCAGTAGTGACAAAAAAAAAAAAATGTCTCCAGATATTGCTAATGTCCCTTGGGGTGGGATGGGGGGGATGCAGAACTACCCTCAGTTGAGATCCACTAGTGTAAGGGAAACATGAACTGTGATACAGTTAGAAGAGAGGTCTCATTCAATCCTATGGAGAGCTCTGGAGCTCAAATAATAAAACTATTCACTCAGAATTCATGAGAAAGTAAAAAGATGAACACTTGGGGTGTTTTCACAAATTCTATAAGCAAGACTTTTCATAAGTGATTTCAAATCATAAGTGATTTCAAATCATCCTCATCTTCAATATAAAGCTATATCCAGCTTTATTAAATCAACTCTAAAGACTGCTCTAATGTAGTTGACAAGGAGGTGTTTCCTGGAATAAGCTGATGCAAAAAGACAGATGTCAGAAACCCCTGTCAATAAACATGATGCTTTAAACAAAACTATTGATCCCTAGACAGGACTAAAAAGCACACGCTGGGGGGATGTAAAGTAATATGGTTCTGGTTTTTTTTACTAATGAGTAGAAAATATATTTAATAATTTTTCACTATTACAATATTTTTATTCCATTCAATACTATTTAATGAGGCCTTTGAAAATCTAGGATTTAATCTTGAGTGCTCTTTGTAATTACCTAAGAATATTGATAGCATGTTTGGGGATTAAGTTGTCCTGGAGAAAATCTATTTATTGCACAATAATTTTATAAAGAATGCGTATTGTTTTAGAATTTATATGAATTGTGCATATGGACAAAAGTCTAGCCATTTGACACCCTACATAAAATTAGCTGGTTTCTTTAGACTATTTAATAATTTTCAAAGCAAAGATCCATCTTAGTGGTTCTCAAACTTGTTCAGATGTAGAAATGTCCTGGGGCTCTTTCAGAATACCATGATCTTTGAACAACACTTTGCAACTGGTTTTTGCAATTGGTTTGTGTTAACTATGGATAAATATTACTTATTTCTAGGATGATATAGGGTTTAACATACATTCCCTTCCTATTATTTATTTTTTTACTGATGTTAAGTGCTGAGAAATCTTGTTCACATAACTATATAGATGAGAATGGAAGTTTTGTGTACCAATATGACTCAATTCTTTGAACTCTTTCCAACTTATACATCAAAAATCACATACTGATTAATCATCAAAATTATTTTCAATGATCTATCATCTGACAACTCAATTATGTTGACAAATCAATTATGTGTTCTTTCAATATCATTAAAACAGAAGAATTGGAAATCACCTGACTTGCGAAGCAACTTGTTACACGGTCTTGAGAACAATGTACTTTCTCTACTTTTGGAAAGTATAACACATGGATTTACTAACACTATAACATAACTATTAATTGCATCTTTTACTCTTTTACCTAGAAGCAATTTATTTAAACTGATATACTCCCAATAGAATTGGAAAAAATGCTGCTTATTTGAGTACACCTTTGCCAATATAATTTGTGATCATCTATTTTTATTTTATCATGTGTCTTAAATATATTTTTGTTAAAACTTTGTTACTACAGATTTAACTCTCTCAAGTTATAAAAAATGTCTGTCATATAACTTAATTGGCACAGTCACCATACTGTCTCTTTTCTTGACTGTTCAAAGTTTCTGTACTTTGGGTTTTCTATCAACATGTGTCTTCTCTGGTGCACAAATATAGATATGAAGTATGGGTGCGGGAACAAAAATTTATTGAACCATATTATAGGCAAGACAGGAGTCCCTGGTTGGCGACAATGGTTAACTGCTTGACTATTAGCTTAAAGGCTGGTGGTTTGAATTCACCCAGAGACACCTCAGAAGACAGGCCTGGAGATCTGCTTTCAAGGTCACAGCCTTGGAAACCCTGTGGAACAGTTCTACTCTGCACGCACGAGGTCCCCATGAATCAGAATTGACTCAACAGCAACTAACAAAAACAACATATGCAAGACATTGTGCTAAGGGCTATGAAATAGTCCTTAGATCTCATCTCATCTACCTCCTCCTAGCTCACTCTGTTCCAGCCTGCAGGCTTCCTCACTGTTCCTTGAACATGCCAAGTAGATACCTCCCCTCCCAATTCCTCCTGTTATGCTCCCTTACTTCATTAAGTTAGCTGCTCAGTTCTCCCCTTATCAAAAATAGTACCCCACCACTTACTGTCTCCTTACTCTGCTTTATTTTTTTCTTTGCACCTATGTCTACTGATACACACTTACTTGCTTATAACTTGAACTCATCCTCACCAGAATTTAAGATCCACAAAAGCATATATTTTTGTTGTTCCTGCTGAATCACCAGGACCGAAACCAGTGCTTGTCTACTATGTGTGCATGCTCAATAGATGTCTGTTGCATGAATAAATGAATGAAAAGGAGTCTCTCTGTCCTCAATAAACAGTAAAATATATACATTTTTCTTTTTTTATTGTTATAATTAAACGAAGTTTACATTTCAAGTTAGTCTCCCATACAAAATTTTTTTTACATACGAAAATACGGAATCCTTCACAAATTTGTGTGTCATCCTTGCCCAGGGGCCATGCTAATCTCTGTATCGTTCCAATTTTAGAAAATGTGCTGCCGAAGCAAGCACAAAATATATACGTTTTTAAAAGGCAAACCAGATGTAAAAACGAGGCAGTGTCTGACCTCCTCTAACTTCGCAAGGGGGAAGGAAAAATCAAGATTAACAGCCCAAGGCTGATTCCTATGAGGCGGAGGTCAGATATGCCTCCTCTCTCCAGCATCTTTACCAATTCTGACACCAACTGTCCCACGGCACTCTCTACTTCTCTACTGGGTTCTATAATTTATTGCAATGGCCACACAGAACTCACAGACCACACTCACGATTATGGGGTTTATTAGGGAAGTAACAGGTTACAATTCAGCCTCAGGAACACTCAAAAATACAGTTCTTCCACCAGGACAGCCACTTCCTAGCCCTCACAGGCGCGCCTCTCCCTGGCCCTCAGTCTCTGCCCAAAGGCACTCAGCTTTCTCACTCTGTAGGCCAGGAAGCCCACTGCACCATCTCCTGTGAGTCTCTCCTACAAATCTTTCCTGTCATACTCTCCTTCCTTGGTGGTGGTGGGCTCTTCTGTATCCCGCCTCTGGGTGGCTTATTTCAAGCCCAGTGAGATGGCAAAACTAACCAATCCCCTTGGTGGGCTACAATTACCATATCATACGTCCCACCCAATCACTTGGGTGGGAGTTACAAGACCATGGCTAGAAAAACCAAACAAAAGTGATCTATCACACCGCACCAGCATAAAGTGACCAACAGTTTATTGTTCGAAGTATGGACACTTAAAAGATTGCTACCCAGTAATGACTCATTTCCTAAAACAAAGGAATTTTTAACACCAAAAAACACCAAGAACAAATAAACACATATTGTATGATTCTAGTTAAATGAAATATCTAGAGTAGGCTAGGGGCTAGAGAGCGAAGGGAACGTGGAGTTACCACGTAATGGGTACAGGGTTTCTGTCTGGGGTAATGAAAAAGTTATGGAAATAGATACTGGTAATGGTTGCACAACATTTTGAATATAATCAATTCTATTTAATTATACACTTAAAAATGATTAAAATGGCAAATTTTGTTATATGTATTTTACCACAATTCACTTTTTAAGACTAAAAAAAAAGACCCATTACATCAGAAACAAATTAGTATTTTTAACCGTTCTAGAAATTCACTATATTTTTATTATTTTCTCATCTCATAAGAGTCTAGTGAAAACTTCAGCAAGGAAATCACTGTTCCAAATACATTGCCATCAGTGCTTATGAGCTATGCCTGAGTGTTCTTATTCTCCTGTAATCTTGGAAAACTATCTGATAAACTGCCTCAGCTAAGGGATTGGTAGCTGATAACTGGATTAAAAACACTAAAATATATTTGAAAGCAAAAAAACAGGCTGGATGGTTGATTTAAGATGAAACTGGAAAATGTCTAGTGTCTTTCTAAGAAAGAATCTCTAGCCTAAAGGAAAGAGGTAGTATATTCTACTGGTGGAATTTAGGGCTTTAGAAAGTCAATGAAGAGAAAGAAAATTTTCAAAGCATCCTTCAATTTACCTGCATAAAAGAGTAAGTGGCCACAGATGAACCTAAAGGAAATTGTGGCACTTTATCTCACATTGTACCTGAGATGTGGGACAAGCCTAAAGCAGTTCTTGCTGATCACTGCCTCTTCCTCATCCTATGCCATTGGTGGTTACCATTTACATGCAATTGTTTTGTTTTCAGTCTTTTGCTATATGGTCCAGATATTCATTGGTAGCTTTGTCCTCTAGTAATCTAGAAGGTATACATGCTGTTTTACTTTTAGGTCCTAAAATCAAGCCATTATTTTCTAATTATTAATGCCAGGAATAAAACAGCAATCATTTGCTCTCTCAGTGATAAACAGATAATTAGCATATGTTTACTTGGTGAGCTGCTACCATGAAGATTGTTGTTTGTCATTCAGTGTCATCAAGTTAATTCCAACTCATAGTGACCCCATGTGACAGAGTAAAATTGCCCCCATAGGATTCTCCAGGCTGTAATCTTCATGAGAGCAGATTGCCACATCTTTCTTCTGCAGAGCTGCTGGGTGGGTTCAAACCGCCAACCTTTGGATAGCAGCTGAGCCCTTATTTGTGCCACCAGGGCTCCTTACAGCCTAGAAAACCCAATGGGGCAGTTCTACTCTGTCACATGGAGTCAAAATCAACTCGATGGCATCTAACAACAACATATCTCCCTCAACACCCATATCCTCTCTCTGGTGTTACTTTATGTTTTCGCTGTGATCTAGAATTTTGTAATATAATCTGGGATTATTTGTAAGTGTATCATCACTTTCAAACATAATGTACTTGTTTCATTTTGTAGACACACAACAGTTGTTTATAGTTTATTAATTTACATGGTTTCAGTGCTCAACATCCATCCTTTCCTATCATAACTTTACAGATTGAGTCCTTTATTTCAATGTATCTCTTGCTTGACTATGTCTTCAAGCGATGCTTATTGTTAAGGGCTCTGTCTTAGGCTGGGTTCTCTAGAGAAACAAAACCAGTAAAGTATATAAATATATACAGAGAGAGATTTATATCAAGAAAATGGCTCACACGGTTGTAGGGGCTGGAACTTGGGTCAGACTGGAGACTTCTCCTGATCACATAGCTGCAGGGGCTGGCAAACTCAAGATCGGCAAGTCTGACAGCAGGGCTCTTGCTCACAGGCTGCGAAGATCAACTAAACCCAAGATCAGCAGGCAAGATGGCAGGTAAGCTACTAGCTCAAGTCCCAAGAACCAGAGGTCAGACGATCAGGAGCCAGCTGTAGGATCCAGAGTGAGCAAAAGCCCCTGAGCCTTGCCAGAAAGTCCACTTATACTGGATGCAGGCCACAACCCAAGGAAACTCCCTTTCAACTGAATGGCTACTCACAGCAGATGCTACCACAGAGGTGATATAATGATATGACTGGCAAACTACATCATAACTGCCAAACCACTGAGAAACATAGCCCAGCCAAGTTGACACACAACCTTCATGATCACAGGCTCCAAGAGGAATGATCCCTGTTTTGCCACTAACTAACTCATTGTTGCTGTTAAGTGCCTTTGAGTCAGCTCCAACTCATGGCAACTTTATATATAACGGAATAAAACATTGCCTGGTCTTACATCATCTGCATGATCTTTGATATATTCGGGTCCATTGTTGTGGCTATTGTGTCAGTCCATTTCATTGAGGGTTTCCCTTGTTTTTGCTGATCCTCTACTTTATCAAACATGATGTCCTTTTCTAGCGATTGGTATTTCCTGATTAAGTGTCCAGAATAAGCAAGTCTCACCATCCTCAGTTCTAAAGAGCATTCTGGTTTTATTCCTTCTAAGAGTGATTTGTTTGTTCTCCTGGTTGTCCATCGTGTACTCAATATTCTTTACCAAAACCACAATTCAAATGTATCAATTTTTCTTATGTCTTCACCTAACCCCTTCAAATTAGGATGCCTTAAAAGGTAGGCTCAGTGAGATGGACTGGCACAGTGGCTACAACAATGGGCTCAAGCATAACAACAATTATGAGAATGGCGTGGGATCAGGCAGTGTTTTGTTCTGTTGTACATGGGGTCAACACAATATGAGCTGGAACCAACTCAAGAACACCTAACAACAACAGCAAAAGGTAGGCTAGAATTTCCTTATTTCCTGCAAAGGCTGAAAACCCTCACTGCCTTCTTAGGAAGCTTTGGAGTCTTTGGTGGCTCCTTTATCTTGGTCTCATCTGTGCTGTATCTACTGGAAATTCCTTGACATTACGTTCATAACATGTAATGCTAGTGCTCCCTACTCTTGTTATTCATTTATAATTTCAATCCATTCTGGAGTAATAAGAGCAGTTCTGAAGGGAAGATTTGATCACATCACTTCTTTGTTTTAGAACTCCAGCTAACTCCTCACCTGTTTATTATTCACCTGTAAAATTCTATTATTCAAACTCTGTAGAAGATCCTGCATTATCTGTTCCCAACCCACTAAATCTTGTACCTGTGGTGAATGCCTCACTCACCTCACCCTAGTCCTGGCTATGGTCTTATGTATAAATAAAAAGTGAAAGATTTTTTTGTCTGTATGCTGGTTTAGTCAGGTTCCAAAATTAAGACTATTATTTATTTTATTATATTTTTAGCATTTTATTTAGTATTAAAATATGAATGAAAAATCAACTCAGAGCGAGTAAACACATTAATAGTAAACAAACATAGAAGCATATAATATAAATAAATACAGAACAATTACCTATAAAATAGTTCTTTTGCATTTTGCCAAATATCAAGAAAACTCATTTTTAAAGAAAGCCATCTACAGTGAGAGCCAACAAACACCTTGGAAAAAATTTGCCAATGCTTTTGGCCATGAACAGTAGCTTCTCAAATGTTAATAAACATGAAGAACTATTCAAGTTTCCCAACAATATCATTCACTGGCAGTCATCAGGGATCTCTCAGCAACTCTAGTCATTCATGACTGTTTGGCTATGTTGACCACAAGCTCAAATGTTTTTCTAGTCCTGAAATCAAATGAAGAACATCTTTTTATAGTTTATTCTTAACTCTCCTCTGGGTATTGCTTATTGCAGACAGTCCTATGAGTTCCTATAACATTTATAGGAATATTAGCTGTTAAACCGAACTTAAATTTTTCAAAATACATTACTTTGTCTAATGAGGCCAGCTTCTCTGATCTATGTTAAGCTTTCTTCCAAACCACCTTCAGATTACACTCACCCTACTAGGCACATTAGATCATGAGTTGCTTCACAATCTAATAGCCAAACAGTAGATAGGTTTATTTAGCTAATTAATTAGGATAAAAGAATAGAGCTGTAAAATCTTAAGGTATTTTCTGTAGATTTCTAAAAATATGTAAGAAATTGCTCTTACCACCTTTTGTTTGGTAACCATGAAAAGCTTTTTAATTGAAGCAATCTGGAGCTCTTTAAAATTTGGGTAAATAAACAAAGAGAACTGAGACAGTAATTTCTCTTTTGGATAATAGTCAATCAAGGTAATTTCCATTTTCTAG